TTTCCTTTCCTGGGAAGTTGCTGTTTCGCAGAGTCTTTGCCCCAGAAAGATCTGTCATCACTGCTGCATGCTTCAGAGCACTTACACCACCAGCATCCCTCCCTCCTCCCTCCCCATGGGCATGGCTCAGTGCCCGCAGGGCTGGAGGTGGCAAGCACCGTCCTGCCTTTCCATGGGCCATTTCAAATAAAAAGAGGCTAAAAAAGCGCTGGGCTTGTTTAAGGGGTGGCCGTGGAGTGGGCACAAAGGGTTTTAACTGTCCTGTAAACTGATTTGCAGGGATGGAAAGGTTTAACCCCCTCCTGCGCCACCAAGCCTGCTGGAAGCGGTGGGCAGGAATAGCTCTTGGCCGGCAGCCTGGCTCGATAGCACTCCCGGGGCTCCCTTGGGATTAAAATAAACCCAGCGTGTGGTGAGGAAGATCCAGTGGCGAGGAGGCAAAGAGCCTGGATTGGGACGCAGGGGCGGATGCCAACACCCCACTCCACTGCAGTCCCGGGCACGGTGCAGAGCCGGCGAGCAGAGCAAACCTCTGCTCTACCTCACTGCCGTGCCAAGGATGGTGCTGGTGGAGAGCTCGCTGGGTTTTGGACATATTTTCTCTTCCATCGAGTGATGTCTCAGCAGTTCCTCCCTACCAGGGAAGAGCAAAAGCCCATTAGCATCCTGCTGTGCCAAGGCACACGGCTTGGCTGCGACCCAGCTGCCTGCAGGCAACATCTGGCTGGCATCTGGCAGGGCACCAAGTGGGGCTTGACCCCTTCGGCCACTGCGTGGGAGCCCACAGCCTCATGAACATGGCATCTACCCAGGGCGGAGGGGAGCCGGGGCACGTCCTCGTGCCGGCACCCACTTGCTGAGTGACCAGACACCACCCGTGACTCAGTTCCTCCCTCGGTGCGTGGGCAGCGCTGCCAACCCACGTTAAAACCTGCTCTGGGCAGCAGGGCTGAGATGTGCTTGGTGGAAAGGGTCAGTCCATGGGGAAGAAGCCGTTCCTCTGTCTGCCCTCCGGGATTTGCTTGTTTAAATTATCTCCTGGGAATTCTTTCTACGCTGTGTCATTGCTGCTGAGTATCTGCTACAAAGCCCAGATGGGGATGCATCACCCTGCAAAAGCATGGTGCTCCTTGCTGCCCAAACCGCTTCAGAAGGGTCATGTATCCCGTTAAACAGGAGAGAAACCGGGCACAAGTCATGGAGCAGCCCTGTATCCCAAGTGAAGTCCTGCCAGGGCTCTGGGTCACCCGGCGCACACGGACCAGTGGTCCCAGGGCTGGCGCTATGGGGCAAGCATCACTCCGCAGCATCTCAGCGCAGCGGAGGCGTCCTTGGAAAAGCTCTGGGTTTTCCCTTTTTTTGTTCCTTCTTTTTTTACCTTGTGCCATCTTGTCTGGACCCACTGGACCGTGGCATTCAGGGGGTCACTCGTCCTAATTAATATCTTGCAGAGACGTCAGCCCTCCAAGCACACAGCCCTGCGCTGCTGGCACCAGCCATGCTCCTAATTAACTTTCCTAATTAAGAGGCCCCTTTCCGTGACCAGAAGGGCTGTGGGATGGTTCCTGTGATGGAAGAAGTGGAGAAACCCTCAACTTCTCCTGCCCTGAGCACCCGGGATGGCAGCATGGAGCTGCTCTTCATGTAGGTAAACTGAGGCAGGAGGGAGAAAACTCAAACCCCCAAGAAAAGCCAAAGAGACGGGTGGAAATGAGCTACCCACACCCTGACTTGCCTCCTTGGAAAAGCATTTCTTGGCTGCTGCCGAGCCCTGAGGGTGTTCAGTCGGGGTTTGGTCTCATCAGCCAGGCAGGCTGGCTCAGCCGGCCCCGACATGCCAAACCCTCCGGTGCATCAGGCTGGCACAGAGCCAGACACGAACCGTTCCCTCCTGCAGTGGCTCAGGTTTGGTCCTGTCCCAATCTCACGGGAAGCGGCAAGGTGGAAAAGCTGGTGCAGGAATATTGAAGTCATGCCGTGTCCCCTCTTTGCGCTCCTTCACCCCATCTCTCCCGCCGCGCCGGGGATGGCAGCAGGTATTTGCCTGTAGCAGCATCATCCAACACTTCTTTGGGATCATCACAACCTGTTGCACCTCTCAGGCCATTTTCTCCTTCCAAACCCCAGCAAGAGCCTGGAAGACCTGAATAACCTTCTGGGTGCCTGATGTTCACCAGAAAATTACCTTTCATGGGTTTTTAAGGCATCTTCAACACTCACCCGACACAAGCCCTAGCCTGGTGTCTGGGAGGGTGAGCAGATGATGCCATGTCCATCAGGAACAGGCTCTGTGCCACCACCTCCAACAACCAGCAACAGCATTTGCTCCTTCAATCTTTCCAGCCTTTGCCAAAGCCCTGGGACAGTTTGCTTGGGCTGGTGGGAGAGCTCCTACCCCGCTTTGGCAGACTCCCAGCCGGGCAGCTCATTTTTGGCATAACATGGGTTTTTTTAGGGGTGCTGCTAACATTAAGTATGCTGGGGCATGAGTCCAGGGAGGGAGAACAAACTGCAAATCCACTAAGGAAAAGGAGTGGTTTTTAATCTCTGTGTTTGGGAGATTTGCATACAATTAGGCCAGGACCTGCCCGCGTTTGCTTCCGCATTGCACTCCCCTGATGAACCTGCCGGTTTTCCTGCTCTGCTCCCAGCCAGAGGTTGATTGCAAGGACACTCGCCCTGCAAAGCTGGTGGGCGAGGGGTTTCAGGGAGCTCTGGGGATGCCCTTTCCACTCCCGGTACCCTGTCCTGAGCGTACCCACCCCACACGTTGCCTCTGGCTTTAGGGCTTCAGCCCTATAGCAGGGTAACAACTTCCTTCCTGCGGTGGAGGATGTGTGAGGAGATGCACTGTGAGATGCTCTAGGATGTGTGAGGAGATGCACTGTGAGATGCACATGTGAGATGCAAACGCCCCCCATAAATAGCACGGTGTTTACGTGAGCCCGCCATCCTCGGTTTATTTTCCTCTCTGCAGAGCAAATAGATCGTTCAAATCCAAGTAAGCTCCCCTTGCCCTGCTGCTGGCACAGTCTAATGGCCGGAGGTGGCACATTGCCACAGTCCCTGGACGGCCCTCGGATCTTCGAACCCCCAGCCCTATGCTGGCCACTTGGCCAAGGAGGTGAGAGGGAAGCCCGTGGGCCACCAGCTGATGGAGAAGTCCAGCACTGGGTTTGTGATGGTCCCACAGCTGTTCCCATCCCTGCCTTGGGGTGTGCAGGCTCTGATGGAGGAGAGGGTTGGGGGTCAGCCCCAAGGGGCAGATCCAGGTGTTGGGACATCTCTCACTGAGGCAGAGCTGAGCAGGAGGGGACAACTCCAGCCCCAAGTCTCACCAGAGAAGGGAGAAAGGATGGGGAGAGGTGCAGGTGGGGTTTGGGAGAGTCCCCTTGCCCCAAATCTGAGGTTGTAGCTGGTCCTGGTCCCTGCAGCACTTGGATAAACCAGCCCCGCTCCTGGGGAGCGACGTATGCAGGATGAGCCTTGCAGGTGCCTGGTCCACACCTGGGGGGGCGTTCCTGGAGAGCTTGGCTGGTTCAGCTCCATCAGTCAGATCGAGCCCCCAGCCCCATTGCCTCTGCGCTACCCAGCCCAGGTAGGGGAAATTTTGGGGGTGGCCATTTTTCCCCAAACTTCTCCTAGGACCTTAAATAGCGTCCAGTCCAGCCTCACCTCCAGTTTGGGGCCCCTATTCCTCCACACGCCTTATCTGGAAAGACCCTCCGCCTGCCCCAGCAGCTCTGTTTTCCACTGACACAGCCCCCTGCGCAGGGGATGCTGCCAGCCCTGTGCCTTCCCCCCTCCCCAGCATATATGGGGTGCAGCCACCCCCAGCACCCAGGGGTGCCGTTCAGTGGATGAAGGGTGCTTTGGGGCTCACCCCCAACCCACCCCAGCAGTGATTTTGGGTGAGCCATTGTCTGCCAGAGCCCGGGCGAGCACCCCAGCTCTTTGGGCTGGCTCGGGTCTGACTTTGGGGTGCCGGCCCCGTCCCGGGCCAGAACCCAGAGCAGCGGCTGCTCGGTGCCC